AATATGGTTTAAAAAAATCACAAACAGGGCCTGGAGACATGGCTCAGTGGTTAAGAGCACTGGCTGTTCTTACAAAGAACCCAGGTTTGATTCCCAGCACCCACATGGTGACTAACAACCATCCTTAACTCCAGTTCCAGGAGGATCCGATGCCCTCTTTTGACCTCTGCAGACATTGCAAGACATGGGTGCACTTACATACATGCAGGCAAAATACTCATACAGATAAAATTAAAAATATTTTTTTTAAATCACAGACAGGGCAATTGCAGACAATGCAAGTGTGGACAAAATAGCTGTAAATGTTAAAAAGATTAGCACCATTAAAGAGAAACCAAGCTCTTTGCACTGGGATAATAGGATAGGTGTCCTTGAAGGTAAGTCTTCGCCCATCAAAGGCCCCTGAGCATAAAAAATGCAAACTTACTTGAAAGACTTTCCTTTTCTAAAAAGTACACTTGAGAAGATAGATCCTTCAAGATACCTCGCTAAAACAGAGTCACACAGGGAAGGTATTTTCCCGGGTTCAGCTGCCCAGACACTCAGCAGCTACTATAGCTGTGGTGAAAGGGGACTCAGATACATTTTGTGCAGACCGTAATGCCAACCACATTATGCTGGTTTTGTAAGTATGCTGAATGGAAGAGTTACAAACACATGGAGGTTTGTGTCAAGGCTCCAGAGAAAAGTTTGTGATGGCCAGATAACATGTAACAGAGTCAGATTCCTTGAAAGCAGGACATCAGGGTCCAATGGGTGAAGTTGTGAAGATGAGCCTTAAGATGTAATAGAGACCCCCCAGATGATCGAAGTGCCAGGATTGTGGAAGACTGCCAAGGAAAACTGAAGGCATTGCATGAAGCTGAGCCAAGAGAGAGGCTATGTATGCTACGCAGCAGGGCCATAGGGCCTGGGCTTTGCAAACCCTTTAGAGCCCAGATGATGTCACTAGGTGCCCCAAATGCTGGACATGGAACTTTGGAGTTTAATGTCTTGTCCTACTAGGTTTCAGTCTTGCTTTGGACCAGCCTTTCCTTACTATCCTCCTAGTCCTCCCTTTGGTTTTGTGTGCTTGTTTTACTTGGATTCATAACTAAGAGTTTGCCTAAGAGACTTTTAAAAAGTGTTGGGACTAGTAAGACCATGGGGACTTGGAGTGTACCTAATGCATTTTCTATTATGAGATGTCCATAAACCTAAGGGGACCAGGGACAGAATGCTATAGTTTGAGTCTGAAATGCCCCCCACATGCTCATGTGTTTGAATACTTGATTCCCAACTGGTGGCACTATTTGGAGAGATGGTATAAGAGACTTTTAAAAAGTGTTGGGACTAGTAAGACCATGGGGACTTGGAGTGTACCTAATGCATTTTCTATTATGAGATGTCCATAAACCTAAGGGGACCAGGGACAGAATGCTATAGTTTGAGTCTGAAATGCCCCCTACATGCTCATGTGTTTGAATACTTGATTCCCATCTGGTGGCACTATTTGGAGAGATGGTGGAAACTTTCAAAAGTGAATCTTGATTAGTGAGAATGGGGCACGAGGGAGGGACCTTGAAAGTTATAGGCCAGGACTGGTTCTGGTCCAGCTTCTGCTTCCTGTTCTGCTAAAATAGAAGCAAGTTAGACCACAAACTCCCACACTGAGTTATTCCCGTAGCCATGTATTCCCAGGAGATTTTACCCTCTGAAAATGTGGGCCAAGGTAAATCCTCTCTTAAGGCTTCTGTCAGGCATTTTGTCACAGGGATGAAAAAAGTAACCAATGCAATTCAGCTTTGTTCAAAGGCTCATGTTTTAAAGGTCAGCCAACTCTGTAACTAGCCATAGCCAGCACATATTGAGTACCCACTGTGTACCAGCCCCAATATTAAACACTTGAGGAAAAATTATTTTACTTAATATCCTCACATTCAGTATGTAATTATTATTGGCATCCATCTTGTTTTCAGAAAGGCTAAAAAGCCTTGTCAATCAACCAAACAAATATCAGAGGATTTGGGTTCCCCTTTTTCTAACTCCAAACTTCTTACTTGTTAATGAGCTCCTGATTCCACAGTTGATGTTAGTGAGTACAAAGCTGTCCTGTTTGCAGGGGACTTTCTGCAGAACATTGTGTGGTGGTTTTTAATGTGAAGAAATGCCCATTGCCCTCACTGTCCAACATGTGGCATTTCTACATGTTTGGGAATTGGAGTAGCTCTCAGGGAACAACGAAGTGGCCAGTCTAGAATTCCTTGAATATACTGCCATAGCTTTATGTCTAGGACCCAAGGGCATGCACCCAAAGGACTGATTTGGAAACCTGGTCGTTCTAAGCTGCTGTTCTACTTCTGCTCCTAAGGCCTAGACCCACAAGCACGAGATGTCTGGTGCTTGTATGCAGTTCATAAGGTGGCAGAACTGTCCCTTAGCTGTTTCCCTGGCCTCCACTTAGCAGAACGTAGGAAGTGTGGTCACCCATGTATCTGCTTCTCCTCTCCTGCCTGGGCAGATCAGGCAGGGTCTCCAGTGAAAAGTGATCCGGGCAGTTGTGCCTCTCTTCCTAGCAGAAGCACGCTGGTGCCACTGTGGGATAGTTTACATGCTGCTCTTTCCTCTGGGGACTGTACAACTTTAAGGCCACATACAGCCTGCAATTTCTAACTGGAGGCAGCAGAGCAGTGAACAGTTAGGGCATGGGTCCTGGAGCTAAGCCATCAAGTCCAACTCTCAGCCATGTGAGAAACGCAGGTCAAGGCCCTGCATTTCTTTGTGTCTCAGTTTCATCATCTATAAGATAGGGGCCATCTAGTTCCTACTCCCTGTTGCTCCCATGAGGTGAAATGGCATTGAGTTCAAACATCCCAGTACTGGCTCAGCAAGTACTGAGCACTCAGCAGACACAAGCTCTTAGAGTATGAGGTAGAAGGGGATTGTGTGTGTGTGTGTGTGTTGATTTAGGGGGAGACCTGGGGTACATCTGCCCTTCCTAATGAACCTGGGCAAGTCGTTGCTGAGAAACAAAAGAAGGGAAAGAGGCAAGAGCAACCAAAAGCCACACGGGAGAGAGACCTTGTTCATAATGGCACCAGGAGTTAGGCTATGACAGTCCTCTGGTATGTAATGTTGGATGACTTTGGATTTATTACTCTTGAGTCCTGACCCTCCCTGTTCACTAGGCAATGGTGAGGGAAACCTAGACAAGAGGGAGAGCTGGATCCAAGTTCCCTCCTACTCTTCCACATGGACCTTAATGTGTCAGACATCTTTCCAGTAGCTGTAACTCCACAGCCCGTGGACCCAGGCACAGTCAAAAAGGGAAGAAAAATGCTAGACCCCAGGAGTGTCCTTATGAAGACACACCCTAACTGCAGGGAAACGAAAACCTTTTATTGAAAGCACAAGATGCTCAGCACAGAATCGGCATTAGTCTCGACCTCAGTCCCCAGGCTGTCCTGAGCATGGCATTGTTGGCCAATGGGTAGTGGCTGGATCCTTTCTCAGTGTGAGAGCAAGAAGGTGGGAGGGCTATGAAGGGGCCTGTAGTGGAAACTGAAGGGACTTGGAGCCAGGACCATGTCCAGGCCCATCCTCTCTGGGGCTGGCTCTGTCTTCTTCTCACAGCATCTGCCTCTGTCACTCATGTGCTGAGCACCAGAAGATCCTTGAGGGCAGAACAGAGAACCAGGTAAGCAGGCGGGTGGCCCTAGCTGCAACCTTGGCCACTTGGTCAGTTTCTGGGATGCATGGGGTTGGGTGGCCTACAGATCACCTGTCTGCTACCTTGGGCAGAGTGTGGGACACTTCCCCTTTTGACCTTCACCTCCTTCTACACCCAGAGGGGCCTAAGCCCCTCTCTATAGCCCTCCCAAATCTAAATGACATAATTTGAAAACATCTTACCACAAAATAAGTAGTGAAAGTGATATTTTGTAACCCATGGAATAAAGTACCTATCGTACATCTGTCTTGATCGAGATGGATAGTTGAGTGAATAAGTAAATAATGGAGGACAAAGAACAGTTCTTCCTTACAGAAGAATTTCAGCAAGCAAATATAAAAGGAATTGCTGTGTGTGATTTCCCTGCAAACTCCAATGGAATGACTTTAAGTAAGTGGCTTACCCTCTCTGACACTAAGTCCTTTGCCTAGCATTGAGCACAAACGACAGCCTGGGCTGGGGCTGGGCATGGGGCTGGGGATGAGGCTGGGGATTGGGATGGAGATGGGGCTATGCTTGAACTCATCAAGCAGTGCATGGCAGCAACGATGATGTCAAATCCACACCAAGTCCACTCCTGTCTCCCAACCCCTTGGTTAAAGTGAACAGAAAACTAGCACCACCACTAGTGCAGTCATGTGATTTCTCCCCCACAAACTCCACAAGACGAGAACTCTTGCTCCTCACTGTCAGATGAGAAAAATGAAGCTCAGACACGGTCCTGTAGACCACTCCAGGGGTGGGACCACGGCAGGCACCCCTAGGGATGTCCCAGAGCCTGCACAGCCCATCCAAAGTCCTCGCCACCTCCCTTGACTGCTCCTCAGATGTGGAGGGGAGTACTGTTCCCCCCAGCCATGTTCAGGTCCCACATATGTGTCTGTGGTGTGACCGCATTCAGCATTTTAAAAGAGAAACGCCCAGTGTGGAACAAAGGTTCATTCAGCCCATTCTGGGAGCGTGTCTCAAGCAACTAAATTCTAGATTCTTTTCTGTTTGAGGCCCCAAGATATTCACCACAGTGTTCTTAATTACAATGGTGGCTCTGGCTACCCTGGGCAGTTCCAGAAGACTTACTGCATTCCAAGGGGTATGCAAGTGCTTTCCACATGGAATCTCATTTTATTCTAAAAGAACTCCATTGGCTAACTGCTATGATTAGAAAAGTGAGACTCAGAGAAGTTGAGTAACCTGCTCAGGGCTGCCCAGCTACACACTGGCAGAGGCTGTCCACAGAAAAGTCTTGATTCTTTAACCCCAGTGCTCTCTGGATCAGTACTTTGGTTAAGGTTTAAATTCCAGAAAGATCTGGATGAAAGCCAGCAAATGTCCAACAGAGTGGTTTCTGGGGCTGAATGTCCCACTTGTACAAATACTGTGAATCACATGATGCCCGAACCTGTCCTATACTTTCCACATTTCATATGCTGAGCACACATGTCTTTTATAATAAAAACAGAGTCTCTGAGTTTGAATTTCAAGGCACCTGCCATCATAGCAATTAGTCAATAATTTCAGGACTATTTCCCTAAGTCCTGGATCTCCACCCAGCTGGGGAACATTGCTGAGGTTAGGAAGGAACCTGCTCACCATGGCTAGACACCCAGCCTCCTGCTATGTGTGGCACATAGTAGGTGCTCAGTGAACTATTCTATACTTCCACTTGGATACACATGTCACTGCTTTGAGCCTCAGCTTTCCCAGCTGGAAAATGGGAGCAGCGGACATGAGAGTTTCCTTTTAGGATTCTTAACAGCTTTGCTCCATGTTCCCTTGGTCCTGGTCCTCTCCTTTGAAGGGGAATACCTTGGGTCTCTCCCCTTCTCTTTTTCCCAGTGGCAAAGTTGATGGTAAGGGCTGAGAGGATAGCAGGACTCTGTCTCTCCTTACCTCTAAGACGTCAATGTCAGCATTGCTGAAATCAATGTTGAGAATTTTGGGCAGAGGGACTCCAGAACCCAGCACAGCTATAAAAGGAAAGAAAAAATAAAGTCAGATGTGGTCCTGTGTGGCTGAGAGATGGCAGCCTGGCCAGAAGCCACCAGCATTCACAAGATGACCACCAGCATTCGTCAGTGTCTTTTCTTCCTCTAAGCCTTTCTCCTTACAGTTCCTACCCAGAAGCCCAGGTTGACTTCAGATTTTCTATGTAGCCAAGGATGGCCTTCAACTTCTGATCCTCCTGCCTCTACCTCCCAAGTACTGAAAGTACAGGCATGTACCACCACACCCGGTTTATGCAATGCTAGGGATCAAACCCAGGACTTCATTACATGTTAGGTAACTGAGTAATATTCCTAACCCCTCCCTGGTGGGTTCTGAGACTGTTTCCTCAGATATAGACTAGCCTCCCCTGAGACTATTTCCAAGTCTTATCCTCCATGGTGTTTCCTAGACCCCAGGCCTAGTAATTCTGAATAGCAGCCACTCCTTCACTCCTGACCTCAGCCACCAGAGAAACTAGAACATGTTGATTCTGCTTCTATGCCTGTCGGCCTCATGCCACGTTATTCCTTACCAGCAAGGACTGGGTCCCTAGCATGAGAGAAGACAAGTGTTTTCTGAGTGAAGGAACAGAACAATGCATGTGATGCTCTTACACATAACACTTGATTATCATAGGTTTTTGTTTGGTTTTAAAATGTCAGAGGCAAAAAAGAAAGGGAGGACAAGATGGCTCAGTAGGTAAAGGTGCTTGCTGCACAGTCCAGTGACCTGAGTTCAATCCCTGAAACCCATATAAAGATAAAAGGAGAAAAACAACTCCACAAAATTGTCCTCTGACATGTACACCGTGACACATGCGCCTCTACAAACTCATTGTGCACATATGCATATACACAATAATAGTAATAAATAAATAAATGTTCCTTAAAGAATGTCAGAGGCTGAATAGACTTGCTAATTAATGTTCTAAAAGAAGAAAGGGAAAGGGAAAGGAAAGTTTTTGTGGGGATGTGGATTAACTGAAGTTAAGCACAATTCTTCATCAGGGAGCTGAGGATGCCTTGGGTCTACCCCATAGGGGAAAACACAAGGTTCCTCAGTCTCGGCCACAAAATCCTTTTCTCAGGTTTCTTCTGTTTTATGGAACCTGCTTTGGGAAACATAGACCCAGTCTAATATCTTACTTTTGAAAATTGCCTGTTGGAAAGATAAAAGTACTTGCCTCAAAGGTACAAGCTCTCTTACAAGGTACAAGATCAAAAGTCTCCCACTCTGATCTCCTAGTCTAGCCTAGACCTCATTCTCTCCTTGGGGAATGTGCTCAGCCTTTATGACCATGTCTTTCCCTGTCACTGAGACTCAGCTTTCCCTGGTGATGAGCCCCAGAACAAGAGTCAGTCTGATATCAAGTTCTCTCCAAAGGAGCCCTGCCTGGTAGAGCCAATGACTTCTGCTAGAACATGCCAGCCCTCTCTTGTCTTCTGTTTTGTGAAACAAGATAAGGAGAACAATGGGGGAGGGGCTGAGATTCCCAGTCCTAACAGGGCCACATGGCTGCTCCCAAAGCTGCCCTGGCTTCCACATGACACCACAGTCCAGTAAGTAGCTTTCTAATGATGTTTTTGTGATGCTGAAGAGAGTAAAGCAGGCTCCATGTTTCCTGATCATGAAGTGGGGTGGGAAGATCTTCTTCCGGTAAGTGGCTGCTGGGACAGGAGGCAGATTCAGGGTTCAGAGGTGGGGGACCTGAGTCAGAATGACTTTGGTTTCATCTGTCCTGACAGCACTACTTAAAAAGAGAATGTTTCTATACGATGATTTAAAATGCACACATGATTTTCAGAAGAGTCAGGAGAGATCTTGAGGGCATGAAAAAAAAAAGTATGAAAAGAGCTTAGAGGGAAATACGCCCATATGCTCAGATGATTTGCCTCTGGGGTGGTACCTTTTGGAAAATTATTCTGTGCTTTCTAAAATTCACACACATACAATTTTTATAGAAATCAGAAAAACAAAACCATTAACCAAACAAGAAAGAAACAGATAGGGAAACTGAGGAATCACATTGCACCCTGTCAATAGAAATATGGGCAATTCTTTCTTGCTAATTAAAGGTAAATTTTTAAACCAGGCATGGTGGTATATACCTGTAATACCAGCACTTGGGAGGCTGAAGCAGGAATATCACAAGCTTAAGGTTAGTCTAGACTGTACAGTGAATCTCTATATTTTGAATTAAGTTCTCAGAAATGCTATTGGTAGTATAGCTGTATACCCAATACATCAAATAAGCCAGTAGTCACTGGTCCCCAAGCACATGCCCCAGAGAGGCATGGGCACCCACTCTCACCATTCAATGCAGGCATAAATGCCAGGTCAAAAATCTTCTCAACCAGCACCTCTAGTATGAACACCTGTAAGGGAAGAACAAGGGCTGAGCTGGGGGAGGGGGTTGCACCCAGCTCTGAGGGACCCTTGGAGACCTGTTCCTGTGGCCCAAGATGAAGGTCCAGTGTTGCTCTGAGAGAACCAAGATGTTCTCATCAGCAGAGCCCCTGGGACCCCAGAGCCACCAGATGACAACCCTGTGGTACCCCTGGGACACCTGCTCACTGTACATATAGAGAACCTGAGGCTCAGAGCAGGGCAGAAACTAGGGCCCTGGAGTTCAAGGGCCCTAGGAGTCAAGGAGTAAGGAAGGTACAGCTCCTCCCTGAGAGGCATGAAGCCTTGAAGAAGCTGGCCTGCCCTGAGGCAAGATGGAGTCATTGAGGACTCATAGTCAGAACATCCCAGCTCAGCCTCTGTGGTCCTAGAGGGAGGCTCTCATACCTCCCTGACCTTCGGCTTCCTCAACTTTGAAGATGGGTCAGCTTGCAAGAATACCATGAGGATGATGAACAAATCATGTAGCTTGCCTGGCCTTGAGCCATTGTCACATAGTCAGCCCACTATGTCCATGGACCTTGCATATGGGGATTCAGTCAGTGTGGTTCAAAAATATTGAGAAATAAAATTGCATCTGGGCTGGGGCAGGAGGCTCACTATGAGTTCGAGGCTAGCCTGGCCTACAATGTAAGACTCTGCCTCAAAAACAAAAAAAATTTTTTGCACTAAATGTGTATGAACTATTTTTCTTGACATTCTTGCAACAATGCAGTTTAATAGTTATAGTCATGAGTCACATAAGCTAGAGCAAGTTTAAAGTAAGCAGGAGGATTGTGTGGGTGACCTGCATATACTATACCACTTAAATACAGGACGTGAGCATTCAGTTTTGCTCCCCTTGGGGGTCCTGGAGCTGATTACCTGATACCTTTGGAGCCTGCACAATTGCCCTTGACGTCTCTAGATTTTGGGTTCTACATCTGCAAAGGGGAGTGGGCAATCCCTACCACAAAGGATGGTATTGAAAATCAGAGCAAGCATCTGTGTGTAAATACCTGCCACCTGGCTCTGCATGGCTGAGTGTGGCACCCAGTTCCCAGCATCACCTCTGACTGCTCCGATACCTTCGAGTCACTAATGTCTCTGAATTTACTGTCCTTACTCGAAAGGGAGGGTTTACTAATTGCCCAAGTCATAAGAACTTTGTGAGGGCTAAATGAGAAAACGATTAAAAGAGAAAAAAGTTTAATACTGAGCTGAGTGCATGGCTCCAGGACCCATTAATACTAAATTCACACAAAGCAGAAGTTCCTCCCCACTTGGAGTCCAGAGATTTCAGTTCTAGTCCCAGCTAGGCCCAGATGGCAGTGAAACTGGGGACTGCTTCTCCCCCTACAACTGAGCTGGTGATATCAACCTCAGTGGCCGCGGGGTTTGGGGTTAGAGAAACTCAAGGCACTCAAAGACAAGCAAAGGGATGAATGGGTCTGTCTTTCTCAGCACACGCAGAAATCTCACCCAAGCCTGTCCTGAAGGCAAGTTCAGCTGGGCTATCAACAAA